AAGGGGAAGCAACTTTTGTTTGCTGTTTATACCCTGAAGAATAACATCTGGGAGAAAAAAGTAGAATTAAATATTTAGCTTTAACAGATATACCTAATTTCACTGTGGCTTCAATAATTAGTTTTTCAAATCAGATTTAAAAGGAATGCCTCTTGTTCTCAGAAGCAGAACATGTCAGATAAATATAAAATAGAGTCTGTGAACACATTCTTCAGAAACAAAGAGTACTTCAGTGAAACGAAAATTCTTATTCTTGTTGAGTGGCTAGGAAAGAACCTTCCCAACTGTGCACTTACCACACAGTGGCAGAACTCGAGGATGGGAGGATAGCTCACTACACCCCCTGGTGGTCACATCAAAATATTTATAAACAGCCGAAAGTTTTCTGGATCAGAAGAGCAACCCATATGGAGAGAGGTGGAGATTCAGACTTCAGACAGACCAAAAGCAAAAGATGTAGAGCTTCACTATCATCAGTTAGAGCTTGTTTTTAACACATGGGAAAGCTTTGCTTTTATAAACCAATCAGTCACACACATGCACATATTCTAAGTTCAAGAAAAGGTTTCTCTGTGAAATAATATAACTTTATTTCTTAAAACAGAAAAGTGACATGATGGGGGCATCTTACTATCAAATGGCTCAGAAAATAAAAAGTTCTTTGCACTGTATCAACAATTTTTCTATAAGTATGAGACTGTTTCAAAATTTTAAAATATATATGTGCTGTGTGCTAAGTCACTCCAGTTGTGTCCGACTCTTTGCAACCCTATGGACTGTAGCCCACCAGGCTCCTCTGTCCATGGGATACTCCAGGCAAGAACACTGGAGAGGGTTGCCATGCCCTCCCCCAGGGCATCTTCCTGACCCAGGAATCAAACTTACATCTGTTACATCTCCTCCATTGGCAGGTGGGTTCTTTACCAAGGGCTTCCCTTGTGGCTCAGCTGGTAAAGAAGCCACCTACAATGCAGGAGTCCTGGGTTCGATCCCTAGGTTGGGAAGATCCACTGGAGAAGGGAAAGGCTACGCAATCCAGTATTCTGCCCTGGAGAATTCCATGGACTGTATAACCCATGAAGTTGCAAAGAGTCAGATATGACTGAGCGACTTTGGACTTCACTTGGCTCAGCTGGTAAAGAAGCCGCCTGCAATGTGGGAGACCTGGGTTTGATACCTGGGTTGGGAAGATCCCCTGGAGAAGGGAAAGGCTACGCAATCCAGTATTCTGGCCTGGAGAATTCCATGAACTGTATAGTCCACGGGGTTGCAAAGAGTCGGACGTGACTGAGTGACTATCACTTTCACTTCTTTACCAACAGTGTCACCTGGGAAGCCCCCCTCCCAAAATATACATATGAGGATAAATTAATAGTTCATATTTACAATAGACTTTTCCTCTTTACCGCCTTTTTTTTCACTTTAAGTATAATGCTCTTATTTTCTAAGTTAACAAATTCTTTAACTAGAACACACACTCAGGTAGAAGTACACCTATTTCCTTTCCACCAGCAAAAGATGGGCAATTTAGTATTTATTGTCACTATGATATTTAAATCCATACATAAATTATTTCACTAAGCAGGCTGAAATGAAGTCATATCTCAAAAGTAAAAAAGAAACAGCCCAAAGGCAAGAGAAGGAAAACTTGATGAGGTACCAGAGACAGAGACATGGAAGAAAGATGTGTCTACAAAATGAATGCATTAGTAACACGGTACCATGTGAAATTAGGGCTTCCCTCATAGTTTAGTTGGTAAAGAATCCACCTGCAATGCAAAAATGTGCCTGCAATGTAGGAGACTTGGGTTTGATTCCTGGGTCAGGAAGATCCCCTGGAGAAAGAAATGGCAACCCACTTCAGTATTCTTGCCTGAAAAATGCCATAGACAGAGAAGCCTGGTGGGCAGTCACAAGAGTCGGACACGATTTAGTAACTAAACCACCACCATTTGAAATTACACCTTAAATTCTATGTTGTCTTTCAGCCCTCTTTAAGCTATTTCCACTTGACTATTACCCTGTTGTTTCACATGTGCAAAGGTGAATGAACTCTTTCGTTTTCAACTACACCATTTCTAGTAAAGATATCAACCAATCTTCTATTCCTGTTCATTCATTTAATGAGCATTTATTGAGTGCCAACTACAGGCTAATTGCTGCAGATGCTGAGATAAAAGACACACAGTTTCTGTCTTCACACTGCTATCAGTTAGGGAGGTGACTGCCCACCTCTAGCCATCTGCCTGCAACGGCTTTCTAGCTCACTCTCCTGCCTCCTCTCATACTGCATAACACTGCCAGACTCTTATCCAGCATTCATGCATTCTTTTAGACAAAGATCTACCAAATCAAAGTTGTTCCACTCTTAAGATATGAATGATGGTCTTCTTATTGCCCTTGGAACACATTAGTGCCTACTTCCATACTTCTGGGCATATCCTCCCACCTCCCCATCCTCCTGTGTATGGAACGCTCTTCTGTTCTCCTACCTACCCCATTTATCCAAGACCCAGAACTTACTGGATATTTTCTGATAGATATTCCTCTGGCCCACACTACTTGCTCTCTCTCTCTCTCTTCCTCACCTGCTACAAAACTTTCATTGCTAGGTTTGAAGTAGCAAACCTACTTACTTACAGTTGATATATACAGAAATGGGAGAATTCTACTATAATTAAAATATTTTCTAAATTTAGATCTAAGGTACTTTATTTCCTTCCACAACTAATTATCTTAAAAAAGGTATCTTGGGATTTCAAAGATTTATTTCAATGGTATCTTCCTTTTGCTCACTTTTATTTATTACCTTTGAGGTTCCCAGGTGGCACTAGTGGAAAAGAAAGAAAGTGAATTCGCTCGGTCATGTCCTACTCTTTGCGGACCCCATGGACTGTAGCCTACCAGGCTCCTCTGTCCATGGGATTTTCCAGGCAAGAGTACTGGAGTGGGGTGCCATTTCCTACTCCAGGGGATCTTCCCGACCTGGGTCTCCCACACTGCAGGCAGATGCTTTACCTTCTGAGCCACCAGGGAAGCCCCAGTGGAAAAGAATCTGCCTGCGATGCAGGAGACACAGGTTTGATCTCTGCATCAGGAAGATCCGCTGGAGGAGGACATGGCACCCCACTCTGGTATTCTTGCCTGGAAAATCCTATGGACAGGGGAACCTGGCGGGCTACAGTCCACAGGGTCACAAACAGTCAGACACAACTGAGAATATTTATTACCTTGAAATTTTATTAGGCTGACTCATGAGACAGCCATTTGGAAGTCAAAACGGCTGAATATTGGCATGTTACACGGCTTTGTTTATTCTCCAGTCAGCAAAGTGGGTCAGGACATAAGAAGATGAAAAGCATTCAGTGTATGACAGAACCACTGCAACGATGTAAAGTAATTAGCCTCCAACTAATGAAAATAAATGGAAAAAAAAAGATGAAAAGCAGTGAGTTCATAAATATGTAAAAGGAAAGACTGGAACTGAATTTCATCCATTTATATTTTTACCAAAAAGGTAATAATACATAACCTGATTTTCAGTTCCAGAACTGTGTTATGATATTTTTATGCCTATCTTCTGTGAAAGACAACATATTACCAGAATTAGCTATCATAAAAAGGACTTAGTGGGTAGGAATAGATCAGTTGTTTTTTAAATATGGTAAACTACATATAACATAGAACTTGCCTTCTTAACTATTTTTAAATGTACAGGGGATTAAGTAATTCACATTGTTGTGCAACTAACACTACCATCCATTTCAAGAACTTTTTCTCCTCCAAATATGAAAATTTGTACCCATTAAGCAATAATTCCTCATCCATCCTCTACCAGACCCTGGCAACCAACATTCTACTTTTCATCTCTGAGAATCTGACTACCTTAGGTATCTCAGATAGGTGGAATCATACAGTATGTGTCCTTTTGGGACTGGGTTTTTTCACTTAGCATAATGTCCTCAAGTGAGTTGATTAAAAAAATTTTATTTCACAGACATTTAACAAATATTTTTAAAAGGCACTTATTTCATACAAAAGATATACTCTATTGGGTCACAGTATAATAATGTACTTATAACAAGAAAGAAAGTAGAATTCTATGCAATCTTGAGAAACTAAATATCATATAAAATATAGTTTGTTGCATTACAACATTGACAGTGCTACAGACTTTCAAATTTTTAAGGATTTCAGTGAACTATTATTAAATCTTTAATATAACCATAAAAAGCATTTTAAAGAAGATAACAGAAATGTTATTATATACATCCTAGATATCTCTCATAATTCTTTTCTTTTAATCCCAGCAAGTATTGGTATCCTTATAACATGCCCACTATTTCATGAGAGGGCAAAAAAAAGTTTCACTGTATTTTAAAAGACTGGGTAAGTTACTTAGCGGAGAAGGGCATGGCCACCCGCCCCACCTGCTCAGAGAATTTCCTTGACAGAGGAACCGGGCGGGCTATAGCCCAAAGGGCTGCAAAGAGTCAGACACAACTGAACCGATCGAGCGCGCACACACAAGCTAATTAGTATATCCTTCATATTAACCAATCTCTAAAAAACCGCCAAAACCCAGCTAAATGAATGACAAACATAAGGACAGAACTGAAGGCTGAAATGTTCTTTAGTTAGGTAAGGAAAATTTGCTTTTTCATTACCTAAGATAGTTTTACAGACTTGGGTCAAAGCTAGGCCAGTACTGGCCTTTCTGGTTAAAAAAAATAAAAAAGAGAAGTCTACTATTTAATTAATTAGTTAATTTATATATTGAGGTATACGTGACATACGATAATTACATTAGTTTCATGTGTACAACATAATGCAATCCACCACTTAAAATCTGAGTCAGTAACGGGATTCTTAAAGCAATTCCATTTTGAGACACCAACTAAGCATCTTGGAAAACCAGGACAAAATCATCTGACAAGACTGAGAAAGAATTAGAGAAAAAGCACTACAGAAATGCTATAGGATGTAATGAACAAACATACCTCCTGGGCTGTGATCGGCATTCCTCCTCCCCACTGTCTGCCTCCTGTAGAGAGAGGAAAATGAGAAAAAAATTACTTAAAATCTGAGGTACCAACGAATGGAATTTTATTAAGTTTTACATGTAGGGAGTATCTCATTGATGGTGTGTACTTAAACTAAATTCTCTCCATAAAAAGTGACTTCAACCAACCCACTCGGTTGATATAATATATATCAACAGAATGTATTCCTGGAGGAAACTTTAACAATAGCCTACAAATTTTTTAATAACAAAGTATTCATTATGAAAAGAATATCTCTGAAAACTAACTGGAGATGTTATGTTACTGTTACTTTCAATTAAAATGAGTGGGCATTCTGACTTTCACCAACAAATCTCATCGAGATGACCTATTAATGATCCTGATCCCCAAAGAACAACCTAAATAATGAACACCATTTTGAAAAGTTCTCTTGATCACAACACCATCACCTTAATGAACTATTACTTACTGAATATTTATAACATTCCAGGTGCCTTGCTCAATACTTTTAAGTACACTGTCCCTTATAAACTGAGAAGGTTGATTGCACCCTAGTTTTCACCAATTCTGATGCATACACATAAATCTACAATCAATGCAACTAAAAAGCAATGAATCATCATTTAATCACAATATTTATATTTTATAGTGGCACATGAAATAATTGAGGTGTCATACTTATAGCAATTTAGGCTCAATGAAATATGAATATTTTATAGACACTGAAATTCACAAAAAGGAAAGAAGTTGCTCAAGGAAACTCATGTGGTAAGCTAGAATTAAAACTGATAAAATACTGCCTCCCAACACATTGAAAAAGGATATCATTCACTCTGACTTAGGTTAGGAATTATTATATGTTAAGATATTATATAGATCTTCATGGAGACAACAATAGCAACATGAAGGAGAAGCGTGAGAAAAGATGAGAGAATGATATTGAGGCGTTAACTTTGTCTTTAAATTTCCTCTCTGACATTTTATATTTGCACTCTGGTCACTTTTGCCCTATTTGGCAAACACAAAAATAGGAGAAAAACAACTCAAACAATATGAGTATTGTCTTCTGGTAAGTCACCCACATTTTCAGTTTATGGAACCATCCTCATTACCTCTACATCATCCTGCCTCCATTCCTGGGCAGCAACAGCTGCTATAACTTTTATTCTCATTTTATTTTCATTATTGATTTCAGGTGTGCCCATTATCTTGTACAAACAGCAGGAGACAGCAAAGATCATACCCTCAGAGGGAGGACAGGGAGAGTGTCATGGTATATTACACTCTGCCTATAGGGGAAATTTTAGGTTTAGAAGGATGCCTTTTGGGAAGTGAAGAACAGTGTTTAAAAGAACCAATCGTCTCTAGAGTCAATAGTCAGAACCTGGAAATTCTGCGAGAATGAAAATGAAACGACTCATAAGCAAATACAAATGTTAGATTTTGGAGCCTGAGGGAACTATGCTTCCTTGGAGGGTGCAAAGAGCCAAAACCAGTTACATCTACAGAGGTGAACTAACATTTATTTAATACCACTACAGGCCAAATAATTTATACATTATTTTATTTAATGTGTACCACAACGCCGTGGGGCTTGCTAAATGTCACAAAGCCAATAAATGATGGGAGTCATAATTTGAACTCAGGCCTCTATTTCTGCTATAAATAGCTGCCTCTAAACTAAAAATCTGCCTTTGGTACCCCAACCCCAGGACAGGGGGTGGGAAGGGAACTGCAGAAGACAGTGTAACTTTTCTCAAGGATTATAATACAACAATATCATTTTGTCATCTTTCTTTTATGACGTCTACACTTTAAAATAGTGCCAAAGGTGTGGAAAACTCCTTTTGCACAGAAAAAAAGTAAGCCAGAACAGTGTTTCTAACACAAGATCCCCAAATGACTTTTTTTTTTCTTTTTTAGATAGTTTTACAATAGTCAGGCCAATGAATTATTTGCTTCCCTTTCATCTTACTTGGAAAAAGAGGCTTAGGAAAAAAATTCAGTATGTCAAGGCAACATAAAATAGAATTTTTTTTAAAAAATGAAGAAAGTGTTCAATTATGTTTATTTCAATGGAATTCACTGCCAAAAATACAAAGATTTAACACTGCTTATTCAGCAAGATTAATGATCAGGTAACACAGTTACTTTGAATGGTGGCAGTTAGATGGTAGCTAAAGGGAGAATGCTTACCATTCTATTGTAACAAGTGCATACACTAGACCATATAAAACCACCTATCTTGTCAAATAACTTGACATATTGTTGGTAAAAAAAAAAAAAGAAAACAAAAAAATGCAAATAGTCAGTGTGCTCAGAATATTAGAAAACACCAGGAGAAAAGTGTAGATATAACTATCAGTTCTTCTAAGCAGATAGAATCATTTTTGATGTGTAAGGAGAACAAAATAATTAAATGATTAAACACATGTTTGTTGACTTTTTAAAAAATATTCCAGAGTACTATTGTTAAGCAGTTTTTATTTAAAGAGTACAATTTCTTCCTGATGTTCTAAAAAAAAAAGTTGACCTATAAACAATATGGTGTGGGATTCTGAATATGCATTTAATTTTAGGATATTCAGAAAACACTAATTCAAAAAGATACATGCACCCCAATGTCCACAGCAGCAGCATTATTTATAATAGCCAAGATATGGACTCAACCTATGTTTCCATCAACAGATGAATGGATAAAGATGTGCCGTGTGTGTGTGTGTGTGTGTGTGTATGTGTGTATAATGGAATAAATGGAATACTGTTGTTGTTTACTTGCTAAGTTGTGTCTGACTCTGTTACCCCATGGACTGTAGTCCACCAGGCTCCTCTGTCCATGCTCAGGCATAAAAAAGAATGAAATTCTGCCATTTTGCAACAACATGGATAGACCTGGAGGGTATTATGCTCAGTGAAATAAGTTAGAGAAAGCCAAATACTCCATGTTATCATCTACACGTGGAACTTAAAAAAATAAAATAAATGAATGCTTAGAACAGAAACAGACTCATAGATATAGAAAACAAACTGGTGGTTACCAGTGGAGAGAGAGGGAACAGAGTGGGCAAGATAGATGTATGGGATTAAGAGATACAAAGTACTGTGTATAATGAATAAAAAGAATATATTGGACAGCACAGGGAAATATAGCCATTATTTTGTAATTACTGTAAATGAAGTGTAATCTATAAATATATTGAATCACTATGTGGTACACTTGAAACTAATATAATGCTGTATATAAACTATGCTTCAATTAAAATATAATACATAATTTTAGGGTATTCAGGAACCATTAAGTAAGAATTGATAAGTTAATACATTCTTATTAATCTTCTTAATACCTGAACACAAAAGTAGGTCACTTAAGTAAAAGATGTTTGAAAAAGAACATAAGCATCTAAGTCATATTTGTTGAGAAGTAGGCTGGAAGTGCTGCTAGCCATGAAAAACACCAGGCTAGGTAGGTGTTAACCAATAATTTCCCAACCTTTACGGTCCAAAATTCTTTACACTTTTCATACCAAAATTCTTTACACTCCAATCCAAGTGGATTCATTCATCATTTTTCAAAGGTCCATGTTGTTTCATCATCGTGGAAGGCCCTTCCCCACCCTCCTAGTTCCTTCTGCAACCTTAAAAGCTGGCTTTAAAAGTCAGTAGTTGATGATGCTTCTGTTATCATCTTACTGAGAGGCTGTCTGCCTCCCTCCAAACCTGACAGTTACTGTGCATGCTTCCTATGGCACTACTGAGATTTGTCTCTGGGTTACCGTTGGGCTCTTGTTTTACATTTCATTATCAAACTGTAATCTGCCTTATTTTCCCTTCGCATCTCACCTTGTGTTTAGCACAATGCCCTGTGTGCACATGGAACTCTATAAAGAGGTGAATGAACGCATGATTGGAGCAGTGAACTAAAACCATGCAAACACGGAGCTAATTGGCTGTGCATTCTTAGCTAGTAAGGACTATGCCAGCTATGTTTTACCCTTAGCCGGTTAATAGAACAGTTTTTGTTGCTCAGGAGTTAGTCTGTGATGGAGATCTGGAAGTAATACCTCAGGCTTTTCCTCTGGTTAAGCAGAGAGAATCATTCACTTGCTCTCATTTATATATTCATTCATTCATTCCACATTAATTGACCACCTATGATATGTTAGGTACTAGGCACCAGGAATTAAAAGTAAGCAGAATCACCCTTATCCTTGGATAGTTCATATTGTAGAAGGGGAGACGGTTCCATAAGCCAAAAATTATATGTCACTTGGCTTACAGCAGAGGAAATACAAGTGCTCTAGAAACAACAGGGGAGGGTGTGACCAACTATGGGGCTTGGACATGCTTCACAGAAGCTAATTTCAGGCTAGGCTTGAATATGGGTTTGTGTTAGATGGAAAACAGGAGGAAGAGTATTTCAGGCAGAAGAGTTGGCAAAAGGAACAGAAAGAGGAGTAAGAATCTGGACGTGTAGGGAATGGTGAGCAGCTGTGAGTTCCTGGAACAAAAGGATGGGTTCTGGAGGTTAAGGCTATCAGGTAATACTGATGTTATGAGTCCATAAGGGTACAATATTAAGATAACGGTCCTAGGGTCACAAAAAGTGGTTGTGGATTATTTATTAACTGGACTTCAGATTATCCATCCGTCACTTCTGTCCCTGGGAAAAAACTGAGGGTATCTGTCAGACAGGAAAAAATAATCTAGTAGTCTTTCTAAGAGTGGACATGAGCTTTGAAATCAGGAAAATCCTGCTTCTGGCTTTTGAAAGAAGCAAATGTGAAGGATACAGGCTTGAGGAGGAAATAGGGCACCATATTGCCACTTGGCTACTGGTAAGAGAAGGCTTAGATTCTCTCTAAGAAACAAGAGAGAAAGAAGATGGGGATGGAATCATGTTTGGGTTATCTATTGCTTTATAACAAACCACTAGTTTATTATATTTCATGGGTCAGAACTTCAAGCAGTATTTAGCTAGGTGATTCTTCTGCTCCACACAGTACTGCTAAAGGTCACTCAG